AAATATGCAAATTAGTATGCAAATTAGCATGCAAAATTAGACCGCCATGCTTGCCTCTGAGCCTGGGGAGAACACTGCTATGATAATCGTCAATGAATCGTTTTAATAAACAATTTGTGTATTTCATACCAAAAAGTCAGATACCAATGATCGCAATAGCAGCAGTGAATACCCGTCCAACGCAATGCCGTCAGCTGACAATGTTACGGTGATCGTAGCGTTACTCACAAGGTATATTGCAATGAAAAATCGCCAAACTGCCGTTGTAGAATTTTTTTCTAATTATTGATTCATTAATTTCAACATATTTCGATATCACGCCGACTTTATAAATTTAACCCGACGTTTATATGAACCGACAGTGACATGAGCACAAAAAATTGTACACAATGATGAACCAGTTACATTCATGAATAACATTATATTGACTGACTGGCTATAACACGAGTCTTTCAATTTTTTTTTCCTTTTTATGGTCTTCTATTTCAAACTTTATTTCACTTGATACAAAAACATAAAATACAATGCAGTAAAATGATATAAAATTTATCAGATATAAAAATATCTTATCTTATTAATTGTAGATTGACAATATTTTTTGGGAAAAACTGATTATTATGCAAATAAATTATGCAAATTAGATGCAGTGTTATGCAAATTGACCGTGATGCTTGACATGAAGTCTGGGGAGAACACTGCAATCACTGATTGCAATAGACTTTAATATTGCAACAATGATTTATTTGTTTCTGTTTTTAAGTCTGTAGCATTCGCAATTCGAATATATTTAATTTTTAAATTCAAACTCTTCTAAATTGTGAAACATGTCTTAATTCCAAAAATATTTGCACTGCGACCAAACTCATTAATATTCATTGCTAATTAATATTCATATAGTTCATTAATATTCATGACCGACCAGCACTCACGTTGGGCTGGCGAGATCCCTTTAGATTAATGTATTAATTGTTTTCTATAGCATCCCGTGCAGTCATTCCATGATCGGCAGAAAGGGATATCTTAAAAATGTGATCAGTGGCCCATTTTGTACATCATCAAAACCATCAAAAGTAAAGAATGAGAAAATGTTTTGCCATTGCATCAAATTAAACTACGATGGTATATTTTAGAAACAGATTAATGTTGGCCTATGAGAAAAAAAACAAAGCTACCACTTTCAATCAAATCGCCAAACAAAATGACATACAATTTTTTCTTTATTTTGCCTTACCTCTGATGTCTCTTTGCTGTCGGTGAGGGGGTTGATGGTGGAGTAAAAATTGGAAACATTTTCAACTCTGAAAAAAAAAATTGAAAATGATCTAGTGGGTAATATGCAAATGAATTATTGTAATTGCAATGCCCATTGTTTTCCAACATACAATTTTAAGAAGAAAACTATTTATGCCTGACAAGTACCGTTTTGGACTAAAACTGACAGGAATTTCTAGGACTACAAGGCTAGACTTTTATTATCCCTTGTTTTGCGAACCCGCCGAATGAACAGGAGCCAAAAATGAAATAAAAATAAAATTTTATTTCAGCTAATTTCTCGTGCCCGCCGACTTGTAACCGCAAAAAAATGCTAAAAAAATATTATTTTTATCTTCATTTTTTTACCGCCCGCCACATAACAAATCCAAGTTGCATTTTCGTGGGAGTATCATGATCAAAGTACCGAAGTCTCGTGCAGATGAGAAACAAGGTTATACATGGAATAAAATTTTATTTCATTTCTTCTCTCCGATCAATGATCTCACTTACAATTCTTTGAGAATCACACAAATCTAATGGGAAAAAAGAATTAATTTAATTTTTTTTCTGCCCTCCTCAAAAAAATTGCCTTATAAAAACTCAAGAAACAAGGAACAAGCAGCCTATCGGCTGAGATAGTTCCGCTGTTAGCAATGCACATTTCAATTAAAGAACTGAAGACATCATTAGAAAGTGAACAATATGTATAGTATCAAAGCAATCGAACTTGCAGTTTTTAACAAGAAGTCGAAAATATCCTTTTCTACCAAAAATGACAAAAATATTCACCAAAATTAGAGAATTGAAGATATCATCACGAAATGAACAAATCTGAGAAAGGTCTACATGTAGTATTTATATATGTAATATCAAAGCAAATGAACTTTTGGTTTTTAACAAGAAGTCGAAAATATCACTTTTTACCAAAAATTACAAAAATATTCACCAAAATTAGAAAATTGAAGATATCATCACAAAATGAACAAATCTGAGAGAGGTCCACATGTAGTACCTATATATATATAATATCAAAGCAATCGGACTTACAGTTTTTAACAAGAAGTCGAAAATATCACTTTTTACCAAAAATGACAAAAATATTCACCAAAATTAGAGAATTGAAGATATCACCACGAAATGAACAAATCTGAGAAAGGTCTACATGCAGTATCTATATATGTAATATCAAAGCAATTGAACTATTGGTTTTTAACAAGAAGTCGAAAATATCACTTTTTACCAAAGATTACAAAAATATTCACCAAAATTAGAGAATTGAAGATATAATCACGAAATGAACAAATCTGAGAGAGGTCCACATGTTGTACTTATATATGTAGTATCAAAGCAATTGGACTTGTGGTTTTTAACAAGAAGTCCAAAATATCACTTTTTACCAAAAATGACAAAAATATTCACCAAAATTAGAGAATTAAAGATATCATTACAAAATAAACAAATCTAAGAGAGGTCCACATGTAGTACCTATATATCTAATATCAAAGCAATGGGACTTACAGTTTTTAACAAGAAGTCGAAAATATCACTTTCTACTAAAAATGACAAAAATATTCACCAAAATTAGAGAATTGAAGATATCAACATGAAATGAACAAACCTAAGAGAGGTCTACCCAAGGTACATATACACCAAGTATCAAAGCATTCAGGCTTGTAGTTTTCAAGAAGAAGTCGAAAAAGTAAAACATTGACACGGACGACAGACGCCGACGGACAATCACTCATACATGTATGATAAGCTCCGCTCGACAAAGTCGACAGCGGAGCTAATAAAAAAAGCCTGGCCCAACTGACAGTGAGAGGCAGTTTCGAACTTTGATGCAATTGTTGATTATAATTCAGTAGTGATTATAATAATGCACAAAAAATAAATTCGTTGAATTGTTATGAAATGCAAGTAAAATTTAACTTAGTTTTATCGTAAGCGGATGATTTCGGTCACATGTAAATGCTCAATGCGATATCCGCCATGTTTTTACCGTACACGAGTTGACCTGAAACTGATGGATGGTGCCAACGTGTTCTAATTACCATAGCTCATTTAAATATGTTAATGAATGTTCAGTGACCGAATGACAACTGCAACATGGAAAAGATTTACTGATGTTGTAGTACGATCTTTTGGCTTTGATTTTGATGGAAAAACAGCATGATTTTTAAACCAACAATCTAGTTTATTTTGAAAGATAATCGGAGCATTGAAAAAGCATTTAACACTTTTTATGATGATAACAGCTTATTGTTGCACCAAAGTTTACCCATTCATGCTGGCCACAATAAACATCAGTCTTAAATAGACGTCAAATGTACGAAAAATGACACCTAAACTATAAATACTATAAACAGTCTAAATGAACTTACATCATGTATAATTGGAAATGATAACGATTAACAATAAGTTTTTGAGTATAATTTGTCAACCAACCTTTGCTACTCTTTCGAACTGGTGCGACCGTCTCCTCTGTGTCTGAATCAGGTGTATCCTGCGTCAAAGCCACGTTATCTAATTTGGCTTTCTTTGGTGATTTCCTGGGTGTCTTCTTCGGTGAGATCTCTCGCTTTCTCTTTTTGGGGCTGTCGCCAACAGACGAGGACGTGCACAACTTTTCAGACAAGGTCCCATTAAGAGTACTGAATCCAAAGTCATCAAGAAAAACATCATCCAAATCGGCTTTACTTTTTCCACCATTTTTTTCCAACCTTGCTGGAGTCAACGACGGGGAACCCTGACTTGTCATGCTCTTCTTTTTGCTAGGTTTTACAGCACTGCTCGACAGACTCCTTTCTTTGTATACCGGCGCAGACTTTTTTTTACCTTTATTCAATCCTTGCATGTACAAGCGAATGCCTTTAGAGGCGCTGCTCGGTTTCTTACTGGCTGTAAAACTAAATCCATTCTCCTGTTTCCGAGGACTCTTCCTTGGCGATCTCCTCACTGGTGTCTTAACACCATTCAATTGTTCTTTCCTTGGACTATTTTCTGACTTTGCAACCTTTCTGGGGCTTTTTCTGGGCGATGATCTTATGGATTTCAGCTCCGGCAATCTTGGCTTTTTTACATCACTCCTCACTACAGTTTTAACATTTTTCTTTTTCCCGCTACTTGACTTGGATGTTTTACCTTTCACCCTGTTGTTAGACTTAGGCGTTTTGATTTGGATTTTTTTCACGGGTTTATTCACAGTAATGTCTTCCCCCAAACTTTTCCTTCTCTGTTCGTCCAACTCCCTCAATTGTTTTCTCTCAATTGGACTGATGTATTTTGATTTGTTCCCACTGTAGAATGATTTGGAAGGAAGAATTGGGCTTAAATTCTCTTCTAAATCATGTTCTAAGCATCTAACAATAGATGACCCTTGTCGATTTGATGAAGAATTGAACGCACGTGGAGATGAGCCTCCAAATGATCTCCTCGGACTCTTTCGTGTGTTCGGTGATTCAATATCATCTAGCCAATCAGTTTGTCGCTTCATTCTGGAATCGTTGGCAGATTCAGATTTCCTTTGTTTCAGCGGAGACGTAATAATTCTGCCAGATCCAATCATTTTTCCTGTAACCACAAAACAAAAACTTTTATTGAATGAAAGGGCTTCCATGAGCAGTAATATTAAAGTGTGTAAAATTCAGGGTGGTGGGTAACTACTGTCCATTGAGGACCTTCGCAAAGCTTGTTGTGTTTTTGAAAATGGTGACAGTGTTACACAGACAAATACAGTATTCTGAATTTCAGTAATTTCAAGGCAAAAATTTCTAAATGTCTTAGACACATGCAATTATGAAGGAAATATTGTGAGGTATCTTAGTAGCAGTGTGCCCTTTAAGAGAAACATTTTGTAGAGAGTTAAAATGAAATTTCCAAAAATTAAGTTGAGTCAGCTTGTTGACTGCTGGCGAGAACAGTATTGAAGAAAAAAATAAATTACATGTGACTGTATGTTGGGGCCCCTGATTTTTTGTTTTTGTTTTATTCATAAAATGTTAATTTCTATTTCAAGATTATTTTATTACCGGGGTAATGTGTGAATTAGCACACAAAGTTGTGTCACAGCAAAATCTTTGTGCGTCAATGGCGTGTGATATCATCTTAGAGGGCACACTACTTAAGTACCGGTAGATTATTTCATTAGTGTTGACTCCATTTTTTTGTTTGTTTATAATATCAGGGTTCTGCCCAGCCTCATTTGAGTGCCAGTAGCTAATTTACATTCATAAGATCATTAATATTCATGAGCTAATTAATATTCATTTTTGTCATCCTCGTAGTTATGAGTTATAACTTTGTTAATTAATTTTACTTTTATTTTAATATTTCAATAATCTACTCTGAGAAAAATGAAGAATGGATAAACTTTATTTTTGCAATCACATTGACTTTTGCCCCGGCAGCTATTTTTTTTTTTTTTTTCAAAACATGTAGACCATTTATTACGGTCAAAGTGGAAACAAGAATTAGACCCGTTTTCTGGTCTGTTGCATATTAAATCACATTTATAGTGAGTAATAACTATACCTTAAATCGCTGACTCAACATAAGTTCTGGAATTAATTTTGTGAGCTAGCCTTAGCCAAAAACCTCAACAAAACTTACTATACTCAGGTGCAAGTGTGGAGTAAACGAACAACAGCTTGTCGAGAACCTGAGCAAGTTTTTATTCAACTCAACAAATCTTCAAGAGAATTAAACTTCTGTTTAATGATAGTTCCTTTACACTTATTTATCTATCTATCTACAGTATCTATCTATACATGAAATTGTTTTTTCATCATCAGAATTTTGAAATCAGATGATGAGAAATGTTTCTTTTTTTATGACATAGCTTGAGAATGATTTGGCAAAATTGAAAAAAAAAATTGCGCATGAATAAATCGTGAAAAAATCCTGTTAGAACTCCATATTTCGCATTAACTGTTAATGTATTAATTATTCCTTTGGTTAATAATTTTGCTATTTGCATTGGAAAATAAAATCCATTGAATAAAATCCATATAAAATAACAATAGAAGTGTTTCCCTGTCAAATTTGGAAACTAAAACACTGAGTATGCTCAAAATTGTTAAATTTTGCTGTGACTCAGTATTTGCAATTCTCTCTGAAAATTTGTTTTTCTCAAAATTAAATCAGTCTAAATGAATATTTTCTCTGATATTTTTTGGCTGATCACATCATCACAGTGTAAATAAAGCATGCTGCAATAGAATGGAAAAACTCCTTAAAATACATGTACTACAAAACAGTTACAATCAGGTGTAGGACCACTCAATGCAAACTAACACGAGATGTAACCAGCCCACTAAACTGATTTTTATTTTTAGCCACCTAACATAACTTATTATGATTTTATACATTCATTCTATATTTCCAAACTCGTATAGAAGTTTTAAATAAATTAAATGCATTTGGTTAAATAATTAAAACTCAAATAAAACTGAAACCATAGATCGCCTCCGTGTGAAACGCCGCCAAGATTCCCTCCCCCGCCAAACTCCAGCGAGTCAAGACTCGACAACTTGAGCGGCTTTCCAAGTTTGTTATTGTATTGGAATATTAAAGCGCGGAAGTATTTAGTTGTGAAATATAAGTGCGGCCACATCATCAACCCGTCCAGACGATCAACAATCAGTACCAGTATTCACGTACGCAAATATAGTACGTTGGCGTTAATGAGATCGTATCCTGGGCCGGTTAAAACAATGCGATGAAGGCAATGGGACAATGCCCTGTACCGGGAAGTGTCAATGTCTTAGCGTCAGCTTCTCAGAAAATTCAGTTTACAGCCAACCGACCTCGATCAATGAGAGCAAAGAAAAACTTAAAGTGATATTTCTACTCCTAAAGTACTCACTTTGAACAAATATTGGAAGTTTGTCTTCGATCCTTTCGTGATCACGGAGAAATCAGGCATGAACTCTAGAGAAGGCGATCATCGTCTGGCCACTGTCGCCATTTTCGAAAACACAACAAGCTTGGCGGGAATTTCATTTTCATATGTCGACACCGAGGGCGCTCAAACCAATTCGGGTGTATGGTCATATGACCCAGAAAACGAATTAGTGTGTTATTGATGGTTCATAGCATTTGTTATGAATTTGAAGAATACCGTTGAATTCAGTCGTTGGTGTAAAACCCCATTATATTACTGTAAACAGTCGGTGTACTATGTTTGTGGAGAAACAACGAACAACCAAACAAACCAAAATGGCTGCTAATGAAGATTCGGATTTGGATATCGTATGGGACGCAGATCTCGAAGTTAATTTATTTCATGCAATGAAAGGACACAAACCAGTGGGCAAGTTTAGCAGCTTATATATTCATTCTATTTTTCTTGTTTTTCATACGTTAAATAACTCATTGTTGACTTATTTTTATTTTGAAATAAAACGTTGCGTTAGTAATCGTGACAATTCATCACTGTTGACCATTGTTTATGTTTCCTTTTTTTTGTCCGACAAATCGTTATGGAAAGAGCGCGCTTACGTATGATGTAAATTTTTAACATCTGACTCTGTATGTCTGTCGTGGTTGGATTACCAATAATAAGTTTGACAACACCCGTATCTTATTGTTATTATTACATGTATTCTTGGCCACTGGACGGGGGGGGGGGGGGTATCGTACAGCAAATAAGTGAACGACATAAACTACGGGATAATAATCTTGCCAAATTCGCTTTCATTCAAATCACAAAATTTCTAAATATGTAAACAAATGTTTGTGTTCATATACAAAGATTTGTAAGTGTACAAAGTCAGCAGAGTAAGGAGTGAACATTAACAAATTTGGGGTGGCAGAATTAATAAAAAAAATGTGCACTGGAGAAAAAAATCATTGAAAACAAATCCTACATGGTTCAATAACAGAAAAAAAATATACACCTGTACAAATCAGCATGAAACTAAGTGGACATATTTTCAATAGCCCCCCCCCCCTCACAGAGTTTTTAATGATCCACCCCAAGAGGAATCTTTCATTGACATTAAATAATTGTAACATTAGTTCCATGAATACAAATAACACAAATTATTAAGGAAGCAGAAAACAAAACATTGACGTAATATTGTATTCTTTATTTTTTGTGGGTACAAAATTACTGTACATGATGCATTTGGTGTGTAAATTTAGAGATTGACATAATATCGGTACTAAATTACTCATTTTTTTACTCTGTCACATGGTTTTTATGAAAAAGCTTTCTTCCCTCATTTTTTGTCCTCAAATGTAAATTCAAATTAAAACGGGGACTACACATGTATGTCTTTAACTGTCAGAGTTACTTCATCCTCTCAAGGCGATGTAAACGTTTATTTCCATTTATCTGCAGGTGTTAATAAAAATTTCCATATGATGTGTATCCATGAAAAGTTTACTTTATCAACCGGCAAGAAATGTACTGCAAATGTTCTATGGAAACATTTGGGCACAATGTATGACCTGCCTGCTTTGGTAAGTATACTTTGGGTTGCTGTAAACAAAAATTCTTTTGTTCAAAATTATTTAAAGATTGATAATTAATATCAAATGAGAGTAAATCAATGTTGTTAAAGAGCTACCAATAAATCAGATCCACAGATTTCCAATGTTTTTGTTTTTAGGCTGTTCACAACATTAAAAGATAATCAAAAAACTAAAATCTATAAAATTTAGAATAGAATAAAACAAAAATGATATGTTTTTCAGCACTCTACTTATTGGTTCATATCTGAGGTCATCAAGTACTAGTACCAGGTTGAGTGACCTTCTGAGGTCACCAGGTACCAGGATGAGTGACCTTCTGAGGTCATCAAGTACTAGGATGAGTAACCTTCTGAGGTCACCAGGTACCAAGATGAGTGACCTTCCGAGGTCATCAAGTACCAGGATGAGTAACCTTCTGAGGTCATCAAATACCAGGATGAGTAACCTTCTGAGGTCATCAAGTGCCAGGATGAGTGACCTTCTGAGGTCATCAGGTACCAGGATGAGTGACCTTCTGAGGTCATCAGGTACCAGGATGAGTGACCTTCTGAGGTCATCAGGTACCAGGATGAGTGACCTTCTGAGGTCATCAGGTACCAGGATGAGTGACCTTCTGAGGTCATCAGGTACCAGGATGAGTGACCTTCTGAGGTCATCAGGTACCAGGATGAGTGACCTTATTAGGTCATCATGTACCAGGATGAGTGACCTTCTGAGGTCATGAAGTACCAGGTTGAGTGACCAGGGATTTCGCCACATTGGTCGGCGGTTGTCCACCCGGGCCGGCACTCAAAATTAGCGACCACCACGGAAATGCTTCCGACCAGGACTATTGTCTGATTGTTATTATAATTATGTACCGACCGACATGCATCGTGCCAGTCGTGGATTATAATTTGTAAACAATAGACCTCGTCGCACGATGCGTCTAGTCAATTTTGTGAAATTAGCACCTCTTTGTAAGTAAATACTTTCTGCGATAGTCAGTCTTTAGATTGAAAGCTAAAATTCTTTCCAAATCAATTCCACCTCGATATAACATGGTCAAAGCAGAGTTCGCGGTCAGTTTACGCTACTCAAGAAAAAAACAATGTGTTTATTGCGTGATTTGGTAAAATACATTTGAACTGTTATCATTGTGAATCATGTAAACACTCTTCTTTCAAGACCTATATTTTACTTTTTAAAAATAGCTAATCACCTCTTTCGAAAACCATCATGCAGTTTTCAACTGAAATTGATGTCAACACATCACCCTACAACATCGCTATACTTCCGCAATGTAATTTTAAGGATCACTACCATTTGGAAAACTTCGGATTCTACCGGAACTACCATGCGGTATTTAGATTGGTTAATGACATTCTTGACTCATCGGGTCAAAGGACACATGATGGTCATCTAATACGTCACAAACATCATGGCGGGTCTGTGTTTTTTACTGAAGCGATCGAGTGATCAAAAATAACCACTGCCAATAAAACTAATTCAAATTTTACTTTTATTTCATATCAAAAAAAGAAAGTAATATTTTTTGCATGGCATCATGACTGAGGAATTATTGGTATAATCGGTGTTATAACATTGCGAAGTAAGTTATGTCACGTCGAGACTTTGGAAGTTTTATTTGTTCTTTCACTACTGTGAATATATACGTTTTAGAAGTTGGTGGTACGAATAATAAATTACAACAATACGCCAAATAATTACGTGGTCGATTTTTTGAAAGAGAATGTTTTTGGAGTAAATAAGATCGTGAACATATTCCTGGCTGAAACGTTTCAAATGCGTTTTATTTAACTTTTTACAATAGACATTAATATTGCAACAATAATTTATTTGTTTCTGTTTTTAGTCTGCAGCATGCGCATTTCGAATATATTTCATTTTTAAATTCAAACTCTTCTAAATTTTGAAACATAATGTCTTAATACCAAAAGTATTTGCATTTCGACCGAACTCATTAATATTCATTGCTAATTAATATTCATATAGCTCATTAATATTCATGACCGATCAGCACTCATGTTGGACTGGTGAGATCCCTGAGTGACCTTCTGAGGTTATCAGGTACCAGGATGAGTGACCTTCTGAGGTCATCAAGTACCAGGTTGAGTGACCTTCTGAGGTCATCAAGTACCAGGTTGAGTGACCTTCTGAGGTCATCAAGTACCAGGATGAGTAACCTTGAGAAATCATCATGTTAGTTGCCAGAAATTTAAAGCCAGCAATTTTTGTGATAATCGTATGTTTTTTCCACTAGCATGAATCTGAAATCCTACCATTTCCAAACCGTGAGAAAGATTTCCATCTGACGGATGAGTTTCTAGATTTAATCTGCAGTAAAGAAAAAGATCAAGAAAAAAGTGGACACAGATCAAGAGACAGCACATCTTCAAATGATGAAAGTATGTATGAATTTTGTTCTATGTCCTTGGGAAAAATTGTGTCGGCTTTATTATTTTTATTGTTTTTATAATGTACACTGTATTCGCTCTATTAGTAGCACTTGTGTTTATGCAAATTACAGAGATGTTTCTGTAGTCAAAATAAATAATTATTTCAATGAATCATTGTACAAAAAATGTGATCTTTGGTTTATATGCGGTTTAATTGGAGATGTGCTTCTAATAAAGCAATTACTGTAAAATACTTTATTTTCGCTGAAAATACTTTTTTGATGTTTCGTATGGAATTTATTGTTACTGATTTTTGATGAGTTGAATGTAAAATATAGGAAAAAAAGTATATTCGCTGGATTTTATTTTCACTGAATCATTCCTTCAGCGAAAATAGCGAAAATAAAGTATTTTACAGTATTTACCGGTAATACCTCAAAAACATGATTTATGTTCAACGTTTATTAAGTAATGCTCCTGAATACCTCATCTAAATCAGTTGACAAACAATACCCCCATTCTAACATGTATCACATTCTACAATTAAAATTGATGAAGGTATAAAGATGCCAGAAAGTCATGGTTGCCAAACCTGTACATAACATTGAAATTGCTGTGGGCATTACATGTCTGCCTTCCTGTAGGTTAAACTCCCATTCTGAAAATGGCCATAAAATGAATGAATGTTAAATATGTAAACACTTTCCTATATGGTGGTTAATACTCTGATTTTGTATGTGTTGTTAACAGATCCTGCGAAAGCAACTCCCAAGTTAGCTGCCATATCCGCCACCCCAAGCAGCACCGACAATTCGCCCAAAAGGAAAAGAACCAGGAACACTACCACAGCTTCATCCAGTCCAAACACAGAAACACCGCCCTCCACGGTCAAAAGAAGAAGAGTGCTTTAAATATGATGATCCCAGTTTGAAGATTACTCAACATAGAACAAGTGTCGGGGACAAATTTGTAGCATTTAACATTTCACTTGCGCCGAAAGTGTAGGAAGCCAGAACGACTTTTGCCAAAATTTATCATTCCAGACAAAAAAAAATTGTGATCGAGTCAAAATTATATGTAGTAATGGTGAAATTGAATGGTGAATATATCTCTATATGTTATTGTTCTGTAGAACATATATCATTACAGTATGCTATACATCTTTCAATCAAGACTCATCTCAGCTGCGATATAACATATTTGTACACCACTTCTAGAGTGCATGCTGAAAGCTCACACTTTTAAGTGAACAGATTCTAAGTCTGACTGATGCTACTAAATAATATGAATACACTATATAAAGTATATTTATTCATATATTGCCAGAAAAAAATCAGTATTTAAACAAAATTGGTATTTGACATTACTTTGAAGAGATTTTACTATTTTTCAGGTACATGATGTTCAAGGATGTAGCAGTATTTTTGCTTGTCAATTATTCAGTGATAAAGCGTATCTAAGCGATAAACCAGTGTTTTTCTGCAACTTCACATGATTATTTAAAGTCAATTTTTCGCCTGTATATTATAATGACAATCCTAGATGTAAGCATCACTCATGTCAAAATAAACAAACTTTTTTTTTTTACTTTTGTGTTCGACATTTTTATTTCTTGAGGGTTAGACGCAGGTTTGTTATCATGGCTGCAAGCTATGTATGTGGTTTTGAAGCAGCAACGGTCCAATACACGTCGCATTAAGGACAATGGCGAAACAAACATAAAGGACATAAATTTCAGTATTTTGCTATTTTATCATATCATATTATCTTTTTATTATGTTGAGAAGAAATGTTCAGGAAAACTATCACTCTCAAAGCTTACCATCAGGCAACGTCAGTGACATACACTGTAGCCTCGTTATAACGAACTCTTTGGGGGACATACAATTAGTTTGCTATAGTGAAATGTTCACTATAATGAAGCATATAATACATTGGGTTTGTTGTGAGCGGGAGACATGCTATGTGTTCATTATATCAGGAAATTCATTATAAAGGTGTTCATTATAATGAGGTTACAGTGTATTCATAATTTACATAATCACACGTGCACACTCCACTAAGGAAGGCTCAGTTTACTTACTATTTTAATGTGAATACCATTTAAAAAAGATTGTTTTTGTTGTGATTGGTTTCACAAATCCTCTCACTATCTTGAGTTATATATTTAAAGGGATTGTGTATACACCATCTTCCATTCACTGCAAGATCAAATGTGTGTGAAATGAAATGTGAACAGGACAAACAAAAGTTTTAGTGATGTCAAAACATATGTGATAAACACAATCAAATAAATTTTTGCGACAAGCGTCTGCCCACGCCTATCACCCATTTCGCGAGACCCGCAGTGATCAAAAAAGAATGGAGGTCCATCACGCTGCGTTGAATTCTTTTTTTCTTTTTTTTTTCTTTTTTTTTTTTTTTTCTTTTTTTCCTATATTTTTTTATTACTTTAAATAAATACATTCACAAAAAAAAAAAAAAAAAAAAAATTACAAAAAAAGAAAAGTGGATGGCTTAAAAGAAGTGGAAGTGGGGGAACATTATTGATAAGCTGACAAATCTGGCTAATAAGTGAATTACTCATAATTAAAATTATTCCATTTTTCATTAAATTTAGACATTGAACCATTATTGATAGCTATTCCCACACCTCGGGAATTACTTCGATACGCACTAAAAAAACACTTCTGCCCCCATTCCGATTCCCATATATCCTCATCCCCGATTTTGCAGTGTATATCTTGCAAACAATAAATATTAAAATCTTTGTTTTTTAACCAACAGAAAACATCCCTTCGTTTTTCTGGAGTAGAGCACCCCTGAACGTTTAACGACAATACTTTCAAATCACTCATTATAATTTACATATGGTATTTTCCTATAACATAACCCCACACTAAAAGCCATCCACTCACAAAAAATACACAAAAACCACAAAGAAACAAAAAAGAATTGAATTCGATATGGGTTTATACAAGGCATGCAAGATGCATTGTATGTTTACATGGAATTTAAACCCCACTGCTATGACCATCTCACTTTAACTGCGTAATATAAACATACACATGTTTTGAGCTTACACCCTAAAAAAAGATCATATCTACCCCAATGAGTGACATGCCCTTTACACAAATGCAAAACATGAAATCAACATGCAAATATAAAAATTGCATCATTTCGAAAAAAATCGTTTGTTTACGACTCAAAATAATTCAATAGTTGCATGGTCATTTCCATTTTTAGGCACCAATAAATGACACAACATCTCATAAAACAAAATCGTTTATTTCATTTAATTTTTGCTTTGCTTGTAGTGTAGTGTAAATGAAGGGGAAGGTAAAGTAAGGAAAGGATTTTGACTTTGTCATTGTTGTTGGCGTGACTTGTGGGTGTAATTTTTACACGATCGGTTTCAAATTTATGTATGTTATAAACAAACATGCAAAGATGGCCGAGTTCGATGTTGGTGTATTTTGCTTGCATAATTAATGAGAGATGGCTACTGATTGGTTTTCGCTTGTGGGTGCGATAATTCGAGTAATTGTTACCCGATCAGTTTCAAATTTATATATGTTATAAACAAACATACACAGATAGCCAAGTTCGATGTTGGTGTATTTTGCTTGCATAATTAATTAGAGATGGCTACTGATTGGTTTTCGCTTGTGGGTACGATAACTCGAGTAATTTTTACCCAAACGGTTTCAAATTTATATATGGTATAAACAAACATGCAACAATGGCCAAGTTCGATGTTGGTGTATTTTGCTTGCATAATTAATGAGAGACGGCTACTGATTGGTTATCTCTTGTGGGCGCGATAACTCAAGTAATTTTTACCAGATCAGTTTCAAATTTACATATGTTATAAACAAACTTACCAGATCAGTTTCAAATTTACATATGTTATAAACAAACATGTGAAGATGGCCAAGTTCGATGTTGGTGTACTTTGCTTGCACAATAGATGAGGGATTCCTACTGATTTACATATGTTATAAACATACATGTAGAGATGGCCAAGTTCGATGTTGGTGTACTTTGCTCGCATAATTGATGAGGGATGGCTACTGATTGGTTTTCGCTTGTGGGCGAGATAATTCAAGTAATTTTCACACAATCGTTTACAAATTTATATATGGTATAAACAAACATTCAACGATGGCCAAGTTCGATGTTGGTGCATTTTGCTTGCATAATTAATGAGCGATGGCTACTGATTGGTTATCTCTTGTGGGCGAGATAACTCAAGTAATTTTTACCTGAACGGTTTCAAATTTATATATAGTATAAACAAACATGCAACGATGGCCAAGTTCGATGTTGGGGCATTTTGCTTGCATAATTAATGCGAGACGGCTACTGATTGGTTATCTCTTGTGGGTGCGATAACTCAAGTAATTTTTACCAGATCAGTTTCAAATTTACATATGTTATAAACAAACATGTAGAGATGGCCAAGTTCGATGTTGGTGTATTTTGCTTGCATAATTGATGAGGGATGGCTACTGATTGGTTATCTCTTGTGGGTGCGATAACTCAAGTAATTTTTACCAGATCAGTTTCAAATTTACATATGTTATAAACAAACATGTAGAGATGGCCAAGTTCGATGTTGGTGTATTTTGCTTGCATAATTGATGAGGGATGGCTACTGATTGGTTTTTGCTTGTGGGCGCGATAACTCAAGTAATTTTTACGCGATCAGTTACAAATTTATATATGGTATAAACAAAGATGGCCAAGTTCGATGTTGGTGCATTTTACTTTGCATAATTAATGAGAGATGGCTACTGATTGGTTTTCACTTGTGGGCGTGATAACTTGAGTAATTTTTACCCGAACGGTTTCAAAAATATGTATGTTATGAACAAACATGCCAAGATGGCCAAGTTCGATGTTGGTGCATTTTGTTTGCATAATTAATGAGAGATGGCTACTGATTGGTTTTCACTTGTGGGCATGATAACTTGAGTAATTTTTACATGAGCTGTTACAAATTTATATATGGTATAAACAAACATGCAAAGATGGCCAAGTTCGATGTTGGTGTACTTTGCTTGCATAATTGATGAGGGATGGCTACTGATTGGTTTTCGCTTGTGGGCAAGATAATTCAAGTAATTTTTTCACGATCAGTTACAAATTTATATATGTTATAAACAAACATGCAAAGTTCGATGTTGGTGTATTTTGCTTTCATAATTAATGAGAAATGGCTACTAATTGGTATTCGCTTGTGGGCGCTATAACTCAAGTAATTTTTACACAATCGGTTACAAATTTATATATGGTATAAACAAACATACAACGATGGCCAAGTTCGATGTTGGTGCATTTTGCTTGCATAATTAATGGGAGATGGCTACTGATTTGTTTTCGCTTGTGGGCGTGATAACTCAAGTAATTTTCACACGATCAGTTACAAATTTATATATGTTATAAACAAAGGTGTAGGGATAACCAAGTTCAATATTACTTTACATGCATAATTAATGAGATATGTAGTAATTATTTTTTCAGTTAAAACGTAATTGTTGTGAACTTTTATGTTTTTATGTATTATGTATACATTTTCATCCTATAGTAAGTTCATTATAGAAAAATGCCTATGTTTTTACTATAGTTAATATTTGACCTTTGTGTGAAGTCACTGTATGGTAATTAGATCTGTTCAAAGTTCATTTTCAAGCGCATTTGTCAGTTTATACTCTGAGCAGTAATCTTATCAAATAGCTGCATTGGGTTATCTTTGTACGACTATGTGTCATTTCTTTTCCATTGTGTGACTTGAGTATGTTTTTCCATCTTATATATTCAGGGCCATACTATAGTTAACATTTGATCTTTGTGAGAAGTCATTTTATGGTAATTAGATCTGGTCAAGGTTTATATTCAAGCTCAGTTGTCAATAATTGCTTGAGCTTGGTACAGTCATCAGTACAAACACATTCTTTTAGTTATCTTAGTTTGTTAAACCACGGTCGTGAGGGACTGTGGTTAAACATTATAAGATAGTATTCCACTGTAAGCAGTTGTACTCGGTACTAGTCCTCATTGTTCAGTGAGTTACAAACTAAGTGCAATAAGTTTTGTAAAGTTGCTATTGTACATGTACAATAAGTTATATCCTAAAGTTCACATGTAATAATTACACTATATTATATTATAATTATGCTATAAAGCATATTCAGTATTCTTCAGTGCAATAAATTTTGTAAAGTTATTACTGTACAATCAGTTATATCCTATTGAGTCACATAAGATAATTATACTATAAGTTGCTGTAAAGCATATTCAGTATTCTTCAGTGCAATAAATTGTGTAAAGTTATTACTGTACAATCTGTTATATCCTATTAAGTTACATAAGATAATTATACTATAAGTTGGCATATATAGTAGTTGTTAACTGGGCACTATTTGCTCATATCCAGACTATTGAGTTAACTTTCCACAATTATA